TAAGTTGGCTGTATGCTGTGCACTGTTTGTATAGATTCTTCAGTGAATATCTGATTCTCCTGGGAAGCCATGACAGGAAAAACAAAGTACGTGGAGTATATGGGGACACCACCACTTATCAAGCTATATACTTAAAGAGGACTTGAACTGGTTAAAGGTGCCCATACACTGTGCGATTATTGCACAATAATCGCGGGAAATCCCGCGATCGTGCGATAATCGTAAAGTGTATGGAAGGCGTGCAACCGTTTTTACTGTACGGTCGCACGTCTTTTGTCTTAGGAGCATGCTAGAAAACCAGCCGAGAATCGTACGATTTTCGGCTGGTTTTTAGCATGATCGTAAGATCAATGCCGCCCTGGCCGGTTTGCGCACGCGCACACTGCCCGTTCAGCATTGCCGTCATCGGAAGCCCGCCCCCCAGGGGGGCGGGCTTGCATTGATCGCAAGTACGATCTGCCTGTCCAAGATAGGCAGATCATACGTTTTTTTAATTACTTTGCAACCATCGCAAGACTAAGGTCTTACGATGGTTGTAAAGTGTATGGCCACCTTAAGTAAAGCCAAAGAACTAGTCATAAGTAATGTATCGCCTGTGGTCTCCCTGCGGCTAATAGTTTCCCAATTGCTGAATTACCATACTTTGCTCCACACAGTGGGAGAAGTACCACACAATTGAAAGAAAAGTAAAGGCAAACCGTTTTTTTAGGCTATGCTTCTCTTTTGGGTCACAGTAGTACATTTTCTGATGTACTCCTTAGACCCATAGTTAACTCATGGTGGGCTACTGCCTGGCTATATGCTGACAGTGCAGAGGCTGAGAAGGATCCCGACACCATCTTACCTAGCTGACACTCGACTGTGCCTCTTAAGCCCTCGTTCACACCTGACCGTTTTGTAGCGCGTTCTACGCTCGACGAACGCTCTACAAAACGGTCAAAAATATAAATTGCATTGTAGTCAATGCCCTCGTTCCCACCTTGCTGTATTTCTGCCCGTCCCTAACGCCCTACAAAACGGCCCACGCCTGAAAAGGTCCAGGTACTACTTTGGGCCGTTTTGTAGGGCGTTTTCCATTGGGATACAGCCAAGTAGCCTTCGGAATTGCGCGACGGTCGCGCAACTTTTTTACCGCGTATCGCGGTAAAAAAACCGTGCGACAGACGCGCATATTACAATACGCCTAGGTGTGAATTAGAGCAAGCCACACCAGCTCCCTCCCGTCTGTAGCTCCAGTTTGCCCAACCCCACTCAAAACTGTGACTGCCAGTTCCCCCTCCTGGCCGAATCAGTGGCTGGGACAGGGGGTGGCAGTCACATTTTTGAGTGGACTTGGGTTATTTCAGCCCAACTAGGTTTACACCAAGCCCAAGCTCATCAGTACTTTTCAATGAGGGCAGAAACCGAGAACTGACTGATTAGTGGTCATGTGATTTTTCAGCTGTTGGTCTTAAATCCCGCACAGGACAGCCGCAGTTCCCCATGTTTTACTCCTCCCATGCTTCTCCTTTAATAAAAAGAGTCTGTGACAAACTTTGTCTCAACTAGAGTGCAGCCAATTAGCTGTAGGATTATAGAGACTGTCTAGCTTGTGCAACTTCTGTTTTTCATCTGCCTGGTGACAGCACAGCCAAGAGCAGTGAAGCAGGCTGATGGAACCAGGTACTGGTTCCATGTGATAGGACGGTGACAAAGTGGAGAATGAAGAGCTTTGGGACCAGAGTGTAGATTTGTCTACAGTTGACATACTTTGAGGCCTGAGATGGACAAGGCGAGGACACTGCAATGTGCTAACCAAACTGACTTTGTCATCGTGGTCTTTACTGCCAATTACATATTGCCTGTGCACTCACTTTGCTACTTTCCATGGCGACAGACAGTAGCAATGAGTAAACCTGTTGTAGCACCTCATCTTCTCGGTCCTCGTTCTGTAGTGTGTCCCAGAGATGCATGTGAGCAGATTAATCAACAGACTGTTTTTTTGTCTGTTTTAACGGAGGCAACATCGACAGGATGACAAGGTAGAGCTGACTCCTTATGTGGAAAGAAGTGTATCATATGGCAGTGAAGATCACACAGCATACACTCCTAGGATCTCTTCTGTCACCTGGAGATTACCGTAGACATTTGGGTCATCTATCACAGTCTCCGCTAAACCACACACAAGTATTGGGACACCAAACCCAGCGCAGCACCTACCTGGGCAGGAATGGAGACCATCAGTTGCATTGGGGGTGGAGGGAAGTGCACACAGGAAGGGCTAAAGATTACACGCAGAGGCACAGGCTGACAATTGTCTCTGCTGATTTTGGCGCAGACTTTTATCAACTTGTAGTATGATATCAATTTATCCCACTAGGAATCCTTGGTCACTTACAGATCTTTGAGCTCAACATAATCTTTAAATGTAACACAAACCTAGACCAAATCCCTTATACTTCCTAATCCTCAGGCAAAATCCAGCATTGTTGTGCTGCAGAATAATAATAAATGGCAGTAGATCTGGTAATATACAGCAGATCCGGTATACAGGTGTCACCGAAGGGGAAGGCTGGCCACTTTGTGAGGGTGTCATGCACTAAACTATGTACTAACAACTTGCCCATTGTAAGTGAAGGAGGTGAAATGAATAAGTGATTATATATTAATATGTCACATATTAACGCTAAACTCTATGCAGATATAAAATACATAAACAATGCAGCTCTGTCAATGTTCTTGCATCAAACAAAGCTAACTTAATGATGCATTCAGTGTAAATGCCTGAATTTGACTTGGTATCAGGCTCTTGCAGTCCCCGTACAGCAGAGCTGGAGCTTAAGAGGAAGAAGCAGCACAAAGAACCAATCAGTTCATGTGCTGACAGGAAGCATGCTGATAGGAAGAGAGAGCAGAGTAAGAGAAAGAGAGGAGCCCAACACTGTGGTGGTTCTCATTTCACTGTCTAACCACAGATTGGGGTGGGTCCAGGATGACCTGGGCCGAGAGGAATTTTGTGAAGTGATTCTGGCCATCAGACTGAGGATATCAAACAGAAGAAAAAAGTACTGGAGGAAATCTCTGGATTGAAGCTGAATATTGTAGCAAAAGCCGGTTTTGTTGTTTTCTCTTTTAATGGGCTATTAATTTTTATCTTTAATAAAATGTAATATTTTATTCTATAGACAGGAAATAATTTTCAGAATAGGGTTTCATCTGGTGTGTTTCTTTCGTATATCTGCTGTAGTCACCGCCTATTACGAAAAGTGCTCCGTGGGGACCCAGCTGCCATTTGTAAAGGTTAATGCCAGGTTGCAGCATTGTATGGCTGGAATATATTGCCCTATTGGGCATTGTGCGTATTTTGCTCTGAAAACGCTATGCGCTGGGAGAAGATTGGTTCCAGGCTGTAAATATTTCCGTTAAGTGTTCGTCCGCCATGTACAGCGGTGGAAAGTGAGGCAGAAAATAGATATTTGCCGCATGGCAAAAGGTCAGCGTCATTTAACTTGTTTTCCCAAAACATTCACAGTGATGAAGTTGTTGATGTTCTTCAGCAGAGAACAAAGTGTTGGATTTTTGTCAGCAACAAATTGGGTTTATTTTCCAGTCGTTGATCTTTGTTTTCAGGTTATCTGCGGGCCGAGTGGACGACATGTTGTCCCTAGGTGTGGACAGAGAGACCTACGAATCTCCTGCCGGGCAGAGCTCTGTAACATATCTGACGCAAGGCAAAGAATTAATTATAAATGGTGCACACAATGGGGAGCTATGTCCAACAGTGGGCCGCTCGGAGGAACAACAATCGATCAATAGAACCATTTCCCTGCAGAAGAGGCGCCAGCGTATTAATGAAATTAAATCTGCCTTCTGCTGTAATACTTAATAATAAAGAGGTTGCAAAATTGTCAACTGCTGCTCCAAACAAACAGCTGTTTTCTGAGAATCGCTCCTCAGCTTTATTTCCTATTTCTAAAATTGCTACTCAATGTTGTTTCTTTTTTCTGGAACCACTCCTCAATTTTATTTCCTATTTCTAAAAAAAAATAAAAATGTTTTATTCTGTGAGTGTGACGCAGCACTGTACAACACCGTATTGAGTGATACAAGGTTGGTCTGCCATTGGCAGCATTGCCTTATGAGAAGCTCAGGGCAGCCTCCCCTTTTTGGGGTGGTCAGATAGCGCCCTCCGATATTCCTCCCGTTCCTTTATCTTATTATTATGGTGCCCATGCACCTTACGATTATCGTACGATAATCGTATGCGATCGACTTTTCGTACGACAATCGTAACGTGTGAATAGAGTGCCCGACTGATAGTACTTTACAATCGTACGACTTTTGACGGTCAAGCATGTTTGAAAACTTTGGTCGATCGTACGATGTTCACATGGTTGGTGGCGATTCTGTCCGTCAAAAGTTAAACGATTAACACTGCGCATGCGCAAACGAAAATAATTGCAGTCAATTACCGCAAGTCGTCCAGGTGTTTTTTTTTTTTTTAACTACCGCTGATTGAACCTTTCGATAATCAGGGCAGGATGGGGGCGTCGTACGAAAATCGTATGACGGTTCGATCATCGGACGATTTTTGTCCGATGTTTTGTCCGATAATCGTAAGGTGTATGGGCACCTTTAGACTTGTTCAGTAATGTGTGTTATTCTTCATCACAGGTTTTGAAGGCCTCTGAATGATTTGTATTGATTGTAGTGTAGTGAAATAACAGAAAAGGAGAATCTGATTGGTGGCTGCATACAACACAGACAGTTGTACATTCATGAGTTAGTGACAGCGATGACACTCTAAGGTAACATGAATGGATGGAGTGACATAAGATTCATCTAAAGAATTTACTAATGCAGCTAATTGTTCATAAAGAGCTGCTTGTTTATTTCTATTGTTGGCGTTATGAGAATGTTTCAGCCGAGCGGGCGGGGTGAGCAGCATTACAATTATCTGTAGTGTGGGGACAGGGTAGCTGGATTTACAGGAGTCTCATCTGTGTCTTGTCTTTCTACAGGTCACATCTAATGCCGAGATTGAAGGAATCACGCTCACACGAATCTTTGCTCAGTCCCAGCAGCGCGGTTGAAGCTCTTGATCTCAGCATGGAGGAAGAGGTGGTCATCAAGCCGGTCCATAGCAGCATCCTGGGCCAGGACTATTGCTTTGAGGTGAGTAGCATCTGTCTCACCATGTCTGAGGATAGGGAGATTTTCAATTTTTAAATCTGCTACTTTTGGAATTTTACAATTAAGGTAGTATTAAACTCTGAAACTTTTTCAGTAATGAACCCAGATCAAATAAATATACATTGCCCGGCAAAGTCATTCTTTGTATTTTCGCCAAAGCGCTTGCATTGTATTTCCAAACAGCTGGCTCCACCTCTCTCAGTTCAGCTTCTCTGAACTTCCTGTCCACTACAAGATCACAAGGGGCAGAGCATTCCGCAGCAGCTGCCATTCTACTAGCTTGGAGGAGAGGGTGTGGGGGGAGAGGGGATCAAGGAGCAGAGGACTGGATTGCCCTGCTGTGTCTGTATGTTTATGGAGACACACACAGCTTACTAGCACACACAGGAGTGGCTCCATACGACCCTGGAGAGGAAAGGAGTCACCCTAAAACAGGATATCGGGGCCAGTGCTCAGGGGACCAGCTGATTCTGCAGTAAACTAAAACTTTTAAACATGAAGTTGCAGCATCCATTGTAAGTGATTTCATCAGCATTTGAAATACCTTGAAATTCTTTTGACTTTAATATCGCTTTAAAAAACAATTCCCAGTTGGACATAAAGTGTATCCCCAGCTAAACTGTTTTGTTAAATTTTGGTGGAGTATAGAAGGATTAGAACCTTGGTCAGGTTTTTATTGCGGCCCCTATCTCCACTGAAGGTATTTAGGCTCTTAATTTGTCCTGTTGACCACTGTCACCTGCATGGATGGGACATGCAAAAAAGTTTACCGTTGTCAGCAGAACAGGAGATGGTGTCTCCTCTCTTTTTGGAGGCATTTCCTGTTGTGTTTGGGACGGGAAGTGAACGGAGGTCTCCTCAGTGGTGTACAGGCAGCATTAGCTATAGTTTAATAAATACCTATTTTTATGTCCGTAGCATAGAAATCCTTGTTTTAGCTCTTCTAGAGATATATGGTTTACATGAGCACTGCTCCTTGGATCAATATATCCTTCTATATCCAGGCATTGCTAGGAGGTTCCACATTTACAATGTCCCTTTTATATTTTAAAATTCAGCAACACAGCAGGTAGCCCAGAATATGCCAATTTGGCGCACTATCCTACACTTCTCAAGATCCCAGATATGTGACTTTAGTGGAATTTCGCTGTATGAACCATTTCTTTTACTGTTTGGTGCCATGTTAGGCTGAGGAAGTCTAGCAAGTCACTGTATTTTTCTGTGGATTACTGGACATGATGCCAGCTGTGTGTTGGCAATCATCTCCCCTTGATTTAAATTATTTTCTGTTGTGATAACCCCCTAAAGTGGTCTATATTGTTTGATGAATTGTGTTCACTATTTTATCACTATTTAAAATGATGGAACCTGAAATATTTACTTTAGCTTAAATGATGCAGGAAATGGAAATGGTTTTCCTGGTGGTATGATTGGTGTAACAAGCTCACCACAAAACAGAAAATTATATTCAGCCGTTATATCTCCACCATATATTTCCAAACAGAGCTGCCTGCTGTCTGGTTACTGTTGACAGTGGCATTTTCTCTACCACTGTGGATTGTAGAAATCTCTGCACTGTAATCTGGCAGACGGAGAGATGATGCGATAAGTTTTCAGGTCACCGGTTATGCGACGGTTCCTCGAATAACCCAGATACAATCCGACAGCCGCAGCTACAGGCAGAGAGATGAGGGAACCGCATGTGTCACTTGCAAGGTCAGGACAGACAGACATCTGGAAGAAGCAGAACTGGATACCCCACATAGTGAGACATCAAATATCTCAATCTATAGAAAAATATCTGACAATCGCCAGAAAGTACGGAAACCCACAGCAATCTTTTTATAACCTGACCCAGCTAAACAATATCTCTCCAATCAGCCGCACAAAACCGAGGTCCATAAAAATCCAACTTTATTGTTGTAAATTCCATGCAAATTTCAAAATACAAGGTATACATGACCATAGTATCTCTCCCACTCCAACACCCCTCACACGTTTCACCTCCTGGGCTTAATCATAGAGCAACTCTATGATTAAGCCTAGGTGGTGAAACACATGAGAGGCGTTGGAGAGGGAAAGATACTATGGTGGTGTATACCTTGTATTTTGAACTTTGCATGGAATTTACAACAATAAAGTTGGATTTCTATGGACCTCGGTTTCGTGCTGCTGATTGGAGAGATATTGTTTGACAAGAGCGAGCACACTCCAGCCTGCACCTGATGTCTGTATTGATCTGCAGTGTAGTAGAATTGGAGCAGCGACTCTTTTGCTTTTCTGGATACTGACCCAGCTAAAGCTTGATCTGATTGATTGTTATATGTTCCTAATGAAAACTGATCTCATGAGACAGCTGTGTATGTATACAATGTAAATATAATCTTGTATGCAGTACAAAAATACCCCATTTCCAGGGTCCCTATTCCTCTAACAGTCAGGCATATATGATACATTTTAAAGGATTAAGAGCTATATTTTACTACTCTTCCTCTGCATATCATAACTGAGTAAATCTGAACCAGAAAATAAAGCTAAGCTTCCAAGATGTGATTAGTTGCCCTGACTTCACTCTCTGCTGACAGTCTGTATGATGTGATGTGAGGAGATTGAGTGAGCACAGGCATGCTGTTGTGAGGGTGTTAGATGCTGCTCTCTTATTGTAAGGAAGGGAGGTTAAAGTGAGTAAAAAAGGTCAGTGTTTGCTTTAAAGCAGGCCTTTACACTCAAAAATGAAATTCTACCAAAGCATCCCTCTATGTATGATGATTAATAATAACATAGACATGTCAGATGTAAAATGCTGTGGTTGTGAAATACTTACACTTGCAGAGCATTCACTTCCTGCTTTGAAAGTGCAAATTACTTCAGTTTGCCAAAGTAATGCACACTGGGCTTGCCTTGTCACCGGCAGAGCATTGCTAGGAAATCTCATCTCTAATCCCATGAGATCTCAGGGAAAGGCATTTTCCTCCTGAGATGATGTGCATGGTCACATGTGCCAGTAATCTAGAAAGTAATAGGAGAGTTAGTAATCTGCTCTTAGTAAACATTGCCACTGCCAGAAGACTGGGAAGAAAAGAGAAATAAGGTAAAGAATACAAAGCTGGCAATTATCCAGAAGTATGTGTTTGTAGATTGTCATTACTAAACATTTCTAAAGGTGTGTGTGTGTTTTTATGTTAAAGATATGTGTAAAGGTCCACTTTAAGGCAACATTTTAGATTCTTGTTTTTCTGAAGTAACATTTCTCTCTTTCTGGCAGGTTACAGCGTCTTCTGGAAGTAAATGTTTCTCGTGTCGCTCAGCAGCTGAACGTGACAAATGGATGGAAAACCTGCGTCGTGCTGTTCACCCCAATAAGGTATTGTGTGATTCAGCATCTTTATTCCCCCCACCCGCAGGACAATCATGTGACAACTCAGAGCCATTTGTCTAGCAACGGGATTATGGGAAAAAATAAAAAAAGATGGCAGCCATGATGGCTCAGCTTTATCCCTCTGCAGGATAGGCATGTTGTCACTCAGCACCATGTATCCAGTAATGAGATTATGAGTAAAAAATAAAGGTGGTGCCCATAATGGCTTAGCTATATCCCCCACAGGACAATCATGTGACCACACAGCACAGTGTGTCCAGTAACAGGATTATGGTGGCCATGATGGTTAAGCTTTTTTCCCCCTACAAGAGCATTTCAGTACTACTGAGCACTGACCCCATGTGTTAAACATATACTGTATATGCACCTTACTGGCCAGAATATAACATATCCTGCTCAACTGTACACTGCACCTGGAGGGTCTCTAGAGCGTCTTCTCCGGGAACTGAGACTTGTTGTTTGTATCCATAGGACAATACCCGCCGAGTGGAGAATATGCTCAAATTATGGATTATTGAAGCCAAGGACCTTCCTGCTAAGAAGAAATACCTGTGTGAGCTGTTTTTGGATGATGTCCTTTATGCACGAACTACCTGCAAGCTGAAAACGGACAACGTCTTCTGGGGGGAGCATTTTGAGTTCAACAACCTGCCAGCACTGAAGAGCATAACCGTCCATCTGTACAAGGAGACAGACAAGAAGAAAAAGAAGGATAAGAATAACTACATGGGGCTGGTCAATATCCCCATCGCTGCAGTGACAGGGCGCCAGTTTGTGGAGAAATGGTACCCCGTGGTGTCCACCAACACCAGCAAAGGCAAATCAGCTGGCCCCATGATTCGAATCAAGAGCCGCTACCAGAGCATCAACATCCTTCCCATGGAGATGTACAAAGAGTTTGCTGAATACATCACTAATAACTACATGAATTTGTGCTCCACCCTGGAGGGAGTCCTCAGCGTCAAGAACAAGGAGGAAATGGCATCCGCACTGGTCCATATACTTCAGAGCACTGGGAAAGCCAAGGTGAGAATGATGCTGTATGAAGTAGCTGCTTCTTTTTGTCCTTATACAGTTCGCTTAAAAAGTAAGTACACCCCATGTTTAAACAGAAAAAAAGATAGATCTTTTTTCAAACATCACCTACAGATAAAGATGATATACTTGAATAAAAACACAGAAAAGTTAATTTTTAATAATTTATTCAACAAAAATACCAAAAGATGTGATGGTGTACTGTGGAAAAAGTAAATACATCCTTGGCAGCAGAAGCTGGTTTTGCTTTCTTTAGCAGCAATGGCTTTTTAGGAGTGTTGCATAACTGTCCACCAGTCTCTAACAATTCAATTTTTGACCACTTCCTCAGGCCAGTTCATAAGCCCCCATTTCCTTTTGACATATTCCTTGGTAGATTTGTTAGTGTTGTTAGATACATTTTCAGTTCGACTTCAATTTATGGCCTCACATTCTCATCAAGCACACCTTGATATGATGCAGAATTTATAGTTGACTCTACAATTTCAAACTGCCCAGGCCCTGAAGCAAAATTATCCAAACTATAACATTTAAATCGCCATGCTTCACAGTTGGTTTGAGGTAATGCTCCCTAAATGCTTTAACGGTTTGCTGAAAAAATGTCTACTGTTACTGTAGCTAAACAACCCTTGTTTTGGACTGTTAATTACACTGTTCTGTTAGGGAACCAAGTTTACCATGAGTTTGCCAGTAGCTGCATAATGATTATATTTACGGGTTTGATCATTAGAGGGCGCCAAAGAGGAACAACAGTGCCAAACATACTGCTGCCAACTGGAGGAGGAAGGGTAAGAAACTCTGACATGTACATTGTTGCAGAAGCCCTGGTCCTTCTCTGTTCAATGGCAAGCTGTAGTTTTCCTCCTAATGTTCTGTTTGGACTACAAAGGCCTTTTACTGAAACACCTCCCATGCAGGGTAAAGTAGAACCTTTTTTTTTTTAGTTTTCAATAGAGTAAGGGAAGGTTAAAACTCCGGTCAGCTTTTTTTTTAGTTTTTTTGCCATCTGTGGGAAATGGGGAAATCTCCCTTCCTTTCCAATAGCAACAACAGGAAGTGAAAGGAAATCCCTCCAAAGAGAGGGAAATCCCTAATGGCCAGTAGGATCCCCAGAACTAGTGTCCCATTAGATGATGTCCCATCTATTCCTGTTCTGATGACAACCCAAAATTTGGGAGTTTGTTTTCACATTCAGTGATAATGGTCATCAGGACAATTATAGAGGGTAAATCTCCCTCAAGGGAACACAGCAATAAACATCTGAGAGATGTTCTAATTCTTCTTCACTCTATGCAAAACTAAAAAAAAAAAAAAAAAGTTGCGTCTTCAGCTCACTTTAAATTGGCACAATAATGTTTTTGATTATAGATGCATGTGCTTTGACACTGACAGTTGCAAGAGTTATCTGAACACCCCTCAGTGAAATTTTGTGGGGGCTACTTTTAGCATCATACTGTCCGCTCTTAGGCTGAATGCTGGGCCAGCCAGTCCTGGACAAATTATTGGTCTATTTAAATCTACACCACTTTCTTACTGTGGAATGATTGATTTGAAATAATTTGTTCATTTTTTTTTAAATCCCTTGCGAGACTCATAGCTTTCATTCTGAGGTTCTTAGTGGCATGGTGACACCACACTTGTGAATAGTAAAGGGAAAACCATCTGAGATCTTCTAATTTCATTGTCTCAAAATGGTGGTACATGTAGAGGATGGATGAGAATGAATTTATCATGTCAATTTTATGTGTCATTTGTTCAAGTATAATAACTTTATCTGTATGCATTTTCGATCTATTGTTTGCTGATTCAAATATTCAAATCATCAATTTCCATAGGGTGTACTTAAGTTTTTACATGACTGTATATCCCTTACTGGGTATTTAGCATGTCCTTTTATATCCTTATGCTTTCCTTAAGGACATGGAAAATACCCATTGCGAGATCAAGTTCAAGAGAAATATACAGTGCTGGATATTTAAGAATGTGCAATATATTTATCATAGGGTATAAAAGAACATGGAAATATCCTGTGTGGTACATAGAAGGACATGGGTATTTTCCAAATCCCTCTATATACTATACGGCAGAGGTCACTGAATGGTGGACCCCGGTCTGCACACAGACCGAGTGACAGTTCTGTCCAGACCTGCATCATCAACCTGCACTGGGTTATGGCTTGGCTGACAGTGGATACATTGATTCCACTGCCAGCCATAACCCAGCACAGGAGAGCAAAAGTTAATTTGAAAAAAAAAGAAAAAAAAAATGGTTATAAAGTAGAAATAATAAAATGTAAAGAAGAAAAATGTAAACATAGGGGGGGAGAGTTCTAACAACAAAATAAATAAATAACAATAAATACCGTGATCCCTGCATCAGCACTGTGCCTGGGAACACACACCAGCAGCGATGCAATGTAGTGCAACTGCTGGTGTGAATGGAGCCTAAATGACGGACTGGGGTACAGACACAAACTAAGTGACCGTTCTGTCTGGACCGCGATTTCAGACCTCTGCTCTATGAAAATTGTATTCACCAGACCTCCTTGAATTTGAATTCACTACCCCTGCTATGCAGGATATTTGCCATGTTCTTCTATATACTATACAGGGCGTTTCCCATGTCCTTATATATGCAGCACTGGATATTTGCCATGTTCTTGAGCTGGTTATTTCCCATGTTCTTATTTAACCCTGTATACTTCTTAAGAACTTGTATATCCCACATTGTATATTTCCAATATCCTTATCTATCCTGCGCTGGTTATTTCACATGTGCTGATGCACCCACTGCTTGATATCTCATTGTCTGATGTTTGTATAACCAGTGTTGGTTCTATGGACCTTCTAACACTGCTGAGCTGACCCATGATATTATAACCTGGAATACTGTGCCAGTCTTGCCTTACATCATTAGGTGGGACTTGTAGTTCTCCAATAACTGGATAGCAGTAATTTATAGAGCATTTATTCTGACATTTTCCTTCCAGTTTGTGTTTTACCAGACCAATTGTCTCTTCTGGTGCTGCTTTTCTCCTGTAAATGAAAATTTTGTACTAGCCTGCTCTGTTCTGAAGTGTGGTTTGTGGAGATAAGTGTTTGATTTGCCAACTCCTAGTTATTAGAAAGAATATTTGCTGAACGTTGACAGATTTGCACATAAGTCTGATATAAGTGCACACATAATAGTGCTGCATCCTGTCATTTGGAACTTGTAAGCAGACAGTGGAGTGTTTCTTGTATGAGGCAAAACCGGGCTGGGTTTGTTCATTGCTGGAATCTTCCTCTTTATCTCTTCACACTATTGGAATATCATGGGAATATATTGAAGGGTTGCTTTGGTCTGAGATACTATAGGATTATTCAGTGTAATGTATGTACATGGGTGTACATAAGATAATTATCATCAGGGTGTCACAGATTGGATGAATATATTATGTGCTATCCCGTATATAATGTCTTAACTAGTATGCACTTGTCCACAGTGTGGAATATGTAGAGGGCTCGGCTATGCCGGGTCATTGATGGTACACAGAGAGCTGTGATTGCAGATTGGGGCCCAATGTACTAACTTTCCGTTATGAAAATAAGCAATTGCTAAATAGTAAATACATTAGCTGTGTTTCCACAATTTCTTGTCATTATTACTTGTAATGTTACTTGCCGTCCTCCCTTCCTGCCCATCTTATATTGACTTTATCAATTTTCATCTGGTTACTGGTAGGGCTGGTGAAGAACAATTACTAAATTACTCTTGTTGAACATTAATCATAACAAGCATGCTGGGATAAAGCAAACCGGTCAGTGCTCTCTATGGAACAATGCAGCCCCTCTCTTGTACCCTTCAAATATTAGTTTGAGGGAATTGGGGCCATTTCCCAGCTATGCCCAAGCTTTGCTTTATCACTCTACACGGTTATGGAGTTTCATATTGGTGTGAAAAGCATCTCACTGCCCTCATCTGGAAGGCTGGCAGACCATACTGCTGTTACAGTTTTTATTAAAATAACAGTTTCTATATGAGAAATCCCAAGAAAGGTCACAAAGTATCCACTGAGGTCTGGGTGCATAATTCAGTCTGATATCAGCCCAGGAATATGTATTTATACAGCCAATCCGAATCTTCTGAACTATATACTCATTCATATCATCCCATTACTGCCTCTTTAAATTATTATAAAGCTAATTGGAGAGGTCTAAACTATATACACGTTCATATGATCCCAATACTACTGCTATAGTTTATTTTACATCCAATCACAGAGGTCTATATATATTCATATAATCACATTACCACCTCCTAGAAGTCATTATATAGCCAACCAGAGAGGCCTGAAGTGTGTACACATTGCTGTGACTATGGTGCAGCATTTGGGCAACCTCTGTCATTGGATTTACCATTTAGCATTTGTCGATCATACAACATGGAGCTCTTTCTGGCAAACGGTAGCAAAGTCAATTCCCACTGACAATCCAACATGCACCGGATCTGTGTACAAACACGAACGTGTTAATTGCCATCTTTCCAGCGTCCTCACTGCCTTCCCAGTCCCCTGTTCAGAGATTGTTGGCAGCATTGGGATGATCTGTGAATTGTATGATTCACAGAGTGCGTTTGCTGGCAGACACTCCGCTTTGCTCATTTTACAGGAATCCACTTTTATTGTACTGGCAGAGGCATGATATGGCCAGCTATTTAATTCCTGAGATAAGAACCGTAAACGTGCGGCGTGGACAGAAATCGTCATCCTGGTTTTCAGTCAGTAATTACAAGTGGGGCGACAATTCATCATCACACACTATGCACAGAAACAAGCTTTATAGATCATTAGCACACACTGAGAAGATCATTTACATCAAGCTGATCTTTTCACATGTTCATCTAAAGCAACATTAAGAAGAGTCTATAAAATCCACTGCAGCCAAATTCAGCAAATGTTTCTCAGTGCTTCTGGCTGGAACTGCTGTCAGTTGTTCATTACTTTTATGCCA